CAACCAACTTTTTAAAAGTTACCAAAACAGGGTCTCAACAGTCAGTCAAAAGTCATAACTTTCAAAATCAGTAAGTCTTACCTCTTTGATTTCATTTTCAATCTCTGCTTCACTCATGGCCATTATTTCTTTGGAGACAACTTCTTCATCCTTCAGACTTTTTTCAAGCTGTTGAAGCAATTCCACAATTAGATATTATTAAATAAAAAAAAACCCAGAAAATAATGTGATCAATTACTGTTAGAAATTACCTTACTCTTGCAGTCTCCAATGGTAAACAAATACTATTGCTTAGTCACTGTATATAAACTAAATATTAATGGTTCACTAGTGTTAAATTGCTCTGTATATGCTCCATCAAAGTTACAGAAAAAAAGCTGCTAAAAAATATAGTTACTTAATACACAAAAAACTGTTTGGTTGTGAAAGTATTTTTCTTACCTCAAGCTTGTAAGCTTTGCTTTGTTTTAATCTGTCCTTAGTACTCAGCAACAGCGTTGTGATAAAATGATAAGCTCCTTTGGGACTGAATCGCTCCCCTCCTCTGGTCACCCAAACTGGTCCTAAAATAACACTGACTGATGGCTGAAGAACTCTGTCCAGTACTGGGACTACAAAAAGGATGATAAGAAAGTTATTGGATCACATGTATCTCTAAAAACAATATGTACAAACTGATAATAACCCTACAAATGCCAGTTTAATATCTCTTTAAAGCATAAAACCTGATCTTAATGGCACTTAGCCTCCAAACATGACAAGATGGCTCTGGGGTAAAATTTTAATCAGAAGTGGGATTTCATCAGCAACCAACCTTCTGAGAAGCTCTTGATTTCCTTTCCCTGCCAGTCAAACAATAATCGAGCCCCAGACTCCAGGTTTAACTTCTTTGTACAGTCATCCAAGAACTGAGAATAAAAATATATTAAATGTAGTCTAACAAGGAGTACCAAGTGGATTCCAGTTCAATCAGTTAGCATGGGTGATTAAGAGTGAACAACAAGCAGGATCCCAATTACTGATAATTGGTCATCAGTATGATCAATAAAGGTAATAAGACTGAGTGGAGTCTAGTTATTAATAGAATTGGACAACACAAAGACTTGTTCCCAATAAATGAAAAACACAACATAAGTCTATTAGAAAAAAGCTACTTTGCAGTTAAATGTTTTTAAAAAAATAAAAACATAATAGTTGACTCTTTTCCAAGAAAAAATACTCTCTATATTGATAGCATGCATCAATGACTTTGACCATCCAATGCACTGGTACAATGGGTTAACAGTGTGTCACACTGCCTGATTACAAGCATGACATATTTTCAGTCCTGTTAGAGCTCAAACAAGGCTGCTCCTAATCAGTTATGTTTGAGGCTTTTGTCAAAGATTTGATCAATCACCATATAACCTTCTGTCACCACACCATGTAATATTTTACTATTACCCAAATTTCGTACCTCATCAAATCTACCGGCAATTATTTCCACTCCTTCAGAGCTCTCGCCATTCCTGAACACCAATATTCTTCTCTTTTGACTTTCCACAAGTGATTGCATTCTCTTGGAGAGAGATGGCTTTGTGCGGCCTCTGGAGCGATCCTCTGGTAGAACTATTCCACTCAGTGTCCAAGAAGCAGACCTGCGTAGCTCTTCTCTGTCTATTGATAAAATGGAATGAAATGCACAGAAAAACATTTATGACTTAAGATTATAGGAATTGAAATGGTTATGTCTGTGAAACAGTAGTAACAGCATTTAATGGGATATTCAATCTTAACCAGCCATCTTAATAGTTTGCATGCGTATTAATCTAGCTGGATCCTCACAGACCATCGGCCATTTATGAATTATCCAAAGCCTCTGATTTAAAACAATGGAAAAAGCAAAGCCTAAGATAAAATGATGAAAACAATTTTCTAGTTTGCTTGCAAACAAACTCATTTTCATTAGAATTTCTTTTCTTTTCTTTTCACCCAATGTTTCAGCTATAGGTTCATGACACCCAAAAATTGGTCTAGTGTAAATTGTTTTTGCTCCTTTCAAGCTCTAGAAAAATTTTAAATTTCAAAGGAATGAAAAGCTTATCACTACCTAGTATAGAAGCATAAGGGTCTCTGAAAGCCTCTCCACAGGAGACATAAACATCCACATCCCGTGAAAGCTGTCTGGGATGAGTTACAGGTGTGCCATCGGACAGAAAGAGCTTCCTTGCTGCAGACACAAGTCCCAATTTGTCTGTGCAGGCATCAAGGAGCTGTAAAGAGGAACACATTTCCAAAAATTGAAAGTCTAATATGTCATCAATCAACAGAGATAAGTATTACTTAAATAAATACTAAGCTAATAATACTAATACTAAATCCTAAAAGCTAACCATCATACCTGAGCAAGATCTGGAACTGCAATTCTAGCATAGTTATCCCTGTTTCCATTCTGAAATGCTCTGATGCAAATAAGTGGAGGTTTTTTCTTGTACAATGGTTTTGTCTTCTTGCCACTAGCTGAACTAGACACTAAAAGAAAGAGCAAAACAAAAAGAGAGATACTTTGGGAGGATTCTTGATATTAAAAATGTTTGCATATACCAACATGTTTTGCTAACCTGATGATCTTCTGGAAAATGATGAAGTTCCAGAGCTGACTGAGCTCGACCTAAGTACAAAAAGTGAAAAGGGAAAAAAGCATTCGGTATTAACACAGGTATGGTAGAGTTTCATTAAGCATTGATCATGTTCAAGAAATAAAGAAAACTTCAAGGATGTAATGATGAGAAAATTTTCCCAATCACAAAAGAAATTGAATTGTAATTTAACAAAGAAGAAGGCCTGAAAAATGAAGAAATTCAACATGAAAATTTTCACCTGGTTCTGGTAGCAGGAGCTGACACAGGGCGTGTACGCTGTTTTGGACGTCGCTCTGTCATCGTCCAATCAGCTTTGTCAGCCCAACCAATCACAGTTTGAGGAGTACTTTGGAAGGTTATGGGGTCGGCACTTCCCCTTGATTTTCCCTTACCAGACAATATGGCTGACTTTGGTCTCTTTAACTGAGTACTGCTATGTGAGTGCGCTGATACTGCATACGGGGACAACTTTGCTTCCCTTGGAAATGAAATAAAAAAGGTGTATCTAGCAATTATTCACTCAGCTTGAAGCAAGTATGATTATTAAGATGCTTTCATATTCTCTTGTAAATTTGTTTTGTTGTTGAAATCATTCTGTGCATAAAGAGAGTTGGGCATACTTTGTTACAATTGTTTTGATTAATTGTATTAAAATAGGCAGACAGTTTCCTTTAGGATTTTACAGGTTTATTTAATTTAATCAACAAAAACTTCATATCTTACCTGTGAAAAGTGTTACACAAAAAAACTTTTTGAATTGAATTGTCTCCTATGACATTTATCACTTATTTGGTAACATTGACAAAATGCAAGGCAGTCATTTGAAATTCAGTGCCACTGCTATAATCATCTCACAGGAGGTGATTATAGCAAGATGTGAAGCCATCCTCAATGGCCATCCTCAACCAATAAGAGTGTGAGAATCTCTTTAATCACCTGAGCAATTATACTAAATCTAATTAGTTTCTGTAATTAAGATCAGGGAGAATGTGAAGTTGAATAATTCATCATTCATCACCAATTCATATCACCTTTAACCACTTTGTGTGGCCATAAACACAATCTCAACTGTGAAGGTAACTAAACGCTATGAATTAGAGATTTTGGGATCCATTTACCTTCTATTAAATATTTTATTTACATAATCATCGATCTCTGAACTTACCTTTCTTTACGAACAGGGGGACTCTTCTGGATTTCGTCCATGTACTGAGCAAGCAGCACGTCTTCATAGCTAATTTCGTCGCTCATTCCTCTTTGGAGATAAACAGAGGCTTTTCCCTTGCGAGCTCGTAAATGTGAGGACATTTTGATTCCAGTAAACTTTGATTCAAACAAACGCAAACTTTTAATGCAACACCAAGTAATTCATCAGCAATGCATTCACGACAACTGAAAAAATCTAACTCGCAAATAAAAGCTGGATAAATAATCAATTTCTCATTAAATCCTTGTCAGTCCCGCCGCAAAATCCGCCTCCATTTTTTCGGCACAGGTTACAAAGACATTTACAATTTTCCAAGATGGCGTCGCGTTGCTAAGAATGATGTCAGAGTGTATAAGAAGGCCGCTGGCCAGTATTCAGTATTATTTTGGCGGGAAAATCAGCAAGGATTTTCAAAGATGAGTTTAACAGGAGAGGTATTATTAGCATGGATGTTTAATTTATTTTGATGTTTAATATAATTCCTAAGCCTAGTTATACTTTATAATTATGTAAAGTATGTAGGAGTTTGTACAACAAATTTGTTATTATTTTTTTTGAGAGCCTTTCACTCCAAAGTGATTTTCATATATACACTGATTAGAGGCATCATCACTCTACAACAATCATGTGTGGTGGAATTGCAAACTCTGTAAAACTTTTGGATGCCTAGGAGATGTGAGAAAGTATATGGACTTAGGATGACTGGAATAAAAATTAGTGTGGAGAGAGGCATGTCTTGGTGCTTAATTGGGTGAGGATTTAGGGAACTGGGTAGCAGATGCCTCCAAAGATTTCCAAACTGTATTCCTCTTATTCTGGTTCTCAGTCTACCTTTTGTCATAAACCCTTTAACTCCCATCAGTGATTGAGACAGAATTTCTCCTTATGCTATCAATACAATATCAAGCATGTAAGTGCCGGGAATAAAGAAAAATGTTGATTCAAGAATTATTTGTTCAGTAAATGGTTTGAACCCGGGGGTAACATGTAATAGTGTAGTTTGATCCTTCAGGTGAATGTAGTCCTAAGAAGGACTGTTGTCGGTAGTGGTGACTGACATTTCAACAACCTGAGCAGAAGTCATCTTCAGAGAAGGTGACTCTGAAGATGACTTCTGCTCAGGTTGTCAAAACGTTAGTCACCACTACCAACAACAGTCCTTCTCAGGACTTCACTAACCCAGACAATCAAACTACACTATTACAGGATTATTTGTTGATCCAATTCCAAATTATCCAAACTAACATCATATGAATTGTATAGCAGACAATAAGGAAATTACCAATGAGATCTTAGGAGTAAAGGGTTAAAGACTATACGATTATTTAACCTAGTTTTCCCACTACCAACTTAATGTCTTCACTTTGCCTAAATCACCATTTTCTTGAAACTTCTTAAACCGTTTTGCAGCAAATTGACAGAAATTCTGTTTAGCCATATCAGGGTGTTTAAAGAAAATGTAGTCAATGCCAGTAAGTGTGCCAAACTCTTCACGACATGAAATAGCAGATTCACAGGATATTCCAAGATTGTCACAAACAGTCTGATACAATACAAGGCATGCCTCACAGCACTCAGTGAACACTTCCTTGACTGACAATGAAACTAGATTTTGGGTAAATACTCTTGTCAAAAAGGCAAATACATCACTCTTTAAGGTGGTCAGAATGTGTGTGTTCTGTAATAGATCCAACAAGTACTTGAATAGGAGCATGACAGTTGTTTCCTCTTCTGCAGCACCCAACACAGGTGGAGATGGTACTTCCAAGGCACTTTTTGCAGTGCCATGACATGAACAATAAATCTCCAGCAGGTACCTATGGTCTTTTAGAGGCTGTGATTCATCTGAGGTTCCAACAGTTGCTGCTGATAGGGAATCAATAACAGAGTTCAATATACAGCATAGATAGAGCTTAGCTTCTGCTTTACCAGTCTCGCAGAAGATCTTCAATTGGCCCTCTAGAATTCTTAGGATTGGGCAAACCCTCCCATCATAGTCAAGCTGACTGCTATATGCTACAAGGAAAACATTATGCAGTGCTTTAGGAAGGTTATTCACAGCTGCAGTGATGCCATCAGCCACAGAAGTAAGATCAGTTTTCTTGATATGGTCGATCAAGTTGTTTTCTGGGATGAAGTATTGTGGAATGTTCCCCAACCTCAGATGATCAACTAGGGTTTTCAACAAATCAACCACTGATTCAAGAAGATGTCTCCACTTTTCCAAAGGCTTCTCTTCACATTTCCATAAGAAAATTGTCTTTAGATGATAAGATGATGGAGCTTTTTCCACAGTTGTTCCTGAAACACTGTCCTTCATTTCTTGAATGACCTGTTTCATAATTAACTTAGCCATGATATAGCTCTGTCGTTGTTCAGTTGCTAGTGAGTGTATAAGCTTCTTCTCAGCATTAGAAAACGAAAGTCTCCATTCAGTTTGGCTCAAATTGCTCTCTGTATTATCATGACAAAACACTGGAACAACATGACAACCTTCGCTAATTATCTCCAAAATCAACTCTTTGCTGGGCCAATCAACAGCACGTGTTCTGTCGACTGCCCATCCCCCTGCCAAGGTTGTCCATCTCTCACAGCGCAAACACGGAACATAGTCGTGAGGATAATTATTTCTGCTGCCAGGGCGATCCCGTCTATTCAGAGCTGGTCCACTGACAACGACCCCACCTGCAGGAAGCTGAGGACCGCTGACTAGAGAATAAAGTGCAGTGTTGTTAACAACCTCAGACCAAAACATTTTGAAGCTCTCTGTGGTCAAAAATGTTCTTTTTTCTTTCTCATCGACGGTACTCAGTTGAACGTAACCAGGGTGGTTACTTGGAACCAAGAGGGCATGTTTTTCTGTATGCCAAAATTTGTCATTTGAGGCCTCGTAAGCAACCTCTTCTCTCTCATCTTCTGCTATACAAGTATGAGAAGATTCTGGTTGAGCAGATTTACCGGTGTTTGTTTCAGTGTCCTCACCATCCATCTTAGGATCTTTTTCAACAACGACCATTGAGCAATCAATAAGCATGACATCGATATCATTATTTGCCTCCCTTTTCCCATCTTTGTAGACCCAGTGGATTGCAAATAAGTTCTCTGCAACACTACCAGACATCAGAAGTTGTACTCCTCGGCCGCTCTTGCTCTCCAATTCTTCCTCGAATGTCTTGTAACGTTTAAGAGAGTTGAGAAACAATCGGTGATTATGCTGAGTCTCTGTTGCATTCAGTATAATCTTCATAACTGCCTCCAAAGCACCATTTGTCCATACTGATTCCTGCTCTGCTTCTACGGTTCCTGACTTCATTTCCTCCATGATTTGTGATCGAGAGACTACAATAAGTGCAAGATGGCCTTATTTCAAAATCAGGAAGCGATCCGAATGAACCGAATCGTCTCACTACCTTCTGCCTTGAATGTGATCGTGAATTCTACCCTCCATTACGGCTGACTTATTTATCTCAACGATTAACTTCCGTATTTCGATTTAATTGCGACCAGCATAGAGGCACTGGCAACTAATCATTAATAAAGCTTGTTGATTGGCTTGAACTTACTACGCGACGGCTTGCGCGTTGGTCACAAATGAAATGACTGCTTACCCATGTGATTAAGAAGAGTCGCAGAAATAATAGTATGCTAATCCAGCTGCTTTGTTGTTCTATGCTTTTGTCTTGTCCCCATGTTCAACACTGAACACATTAAGCTTGTTGTCAAAAAACTGACTTACTAAGTGGACTCTTCTTAAGTGTGTCTAGAGTGGTTGAGAAGGGGGTGGGAAGGACACTGAAATACCAGTACCACAATTGAAAGCTCAAACTAGGGTGTGGGGGCTAGTTTTGGACTACCAGTACTCTAAATTATTCAACATAAGAGTTACTATGAAACTGATTGGTTGAGAGCAAGTGTGTAATGAAACAATTATCTAAGTCAGTTTCAGGATAATATTAAGAATTATCTGAACCTCGTCTGTGTTATCTGCCTCAGCCTTCCACTTTCGAAGATAACTCAGACTTCAGCACTGATAAATCCTAATATCATGCTCAACCTCATCCAATAATTGCTTATTGTGTGCCTCAGGCTAAGGTAGAAATGAAGTCAAGGGGGTTACTTGACTTTTTTCCTATTCATTTCAAGGGGAATTGTTGGAAAATAATGGTGGGAAGGTAACTAGATAATATGCTTTTTTTCTACAAGTGTATCTAGGGAGACCTAGTAACCTTGTTCTGCTTTATTTTGGTTGATGTGACCATTTCAGAAAAAACAGACCTTGCATACTACAAGCTTCTTAACTTTTTATTCCGTGTGCTTAGAACATAAACTTATTCTAAAACAGTCTTGAAGTAATTTGGGGTAGTATATCAGGAGCTCTTTGGTTTGTGTTGTTTTTGCCTCCATTTACTAACATGTTTTGTAATAACTTTCACAATAACTTCAGAATGTTGTAAAAGTGCTGATTGAATGTTTCCTGAAAGAGGAATCTTTTCACTTCCTGGATGTAAGACATTTGATATCTGATCCTGTGCTCTAGACCATACCTGACAAAAAAGTGGAAATAATGATATATCAGTGAAATGGAATGAAAAAAAAATCAAAACAAAACAAAACATTCAAATAACACATTGAGGGAGTTAATTGCAAGATAAGTCTCAGAACTGCAACAATTGTAATGATAATTTCACACAGAGATCTTTTCTACGACAAAATACCATGATACAAATTGAAGTTTTCATAAATTAACAAATGTTGAAGGAAAATAAAGAGCAGAACACCAACTAAAACAGTCAAAAATTCTCTGCTTGTATCTACAATTTAATCACAGCCATGAAATTTCAAAACTTTGACTTCTTGCACTCATGTTACAAATTTCCAAAAATAACTAACATTTTCTCTCAAGCATCTCAGCCATTTCTGAATCCTAAATCCCCAAAAGCTGATTGGCTAATTATGCACACTCCAGCAGTCCCAATTTTCCCATCCAGGCTCTGCATGTGGACTGCTCCCAAATGTGCAATTGGAACATTTCAATCGATTTACAAGAGAGCAAACAATCACCAACTAAAGAGGTTCTTGATTGTTAAGATATCCTCATTGTCAGTACCTTAGGAAATGTATTGAGAACAGCATGGAAAAAATACATACTAGTGTTAGAGTGTAAAGGGTTAAGAGTGCTCTCTTGAAATGAGACCAAATTTTTTGTCTAAAATACAAGAAAATGTATGGTTATGAGTAAGGGAGAATTACAGATTGGATCTTGGATGTGACAAGTTTAAATGAGAATTCTTACCTTTTGTAAGTTCCCTTCCAATTTGTCATCATACACAGCACTGCTGATGATAGACACATCCACTGACTGTGGAAATGGTTTAATTTTCCTCAACATTCTCATCTGAGCTAAGCTTTCATTTGCAAAGAAAAACTCATCAACTCCTGAACTTAGATGACCTGGTTTACATAAAAGATACTTTTGACGCATTGTAACATTTGCTGGCAATAGTTTATGTTGCAACGGAACCTTCATCAAACCAAGGATGAGAGCTAATCTTGTGATTCCTGTCGCTTGAGAGAACAAATATTTTGTCTAAAATACAAGAAAATGTATGGTTATGAGTAAGGGAGAATTACAGATTGGATCTTGGAAGTGACAAGTTTTAATGAGAATTCTTACCTTTTGTAAGTTCCCTTCCAATTTGTCATCATACACAGCACTGCTGATGATAGACACATCCACTGACTGTGGAAATGGTTTAATTTTCCTCAACATTCTCATCTGAGCTAAGCTTTCATTTGCAAAGAAAAACTCATCAACTCCTGAACTTAGATGACCTGGTTTACATAAAAGATACTTTTGACGCATTGTAACATTTGCTGGCAATAGTTTATGTTGCAACGGAACCTTCATCAAACCAAGGATGAGAGCTAATCTTGTGATTCCCGTCGCTGCAGAAAACTGTAAAACTTGTTGAGACAACACATATTGTTCAAACCACAACCTTGTCCAATCATCCCCAAACATTCCCTCCACTAGTGGATTTATCAATATTAGGCTTGCAACATTGTTCTCAAACATCTGAGTATAAAATCTTGCATTTACTGCCCCCAACTCAGCTCCAACTAGTATAAAGGGTTTTGGCTGATCAGAACTCTCAGTGAAGAGTCTTTGAAAATCTTCCACCATTCTCTCACTTGTTGAAAGCTTGCCTCGTTTGGCCTGTTCTGGATCAGACCAATTCACCAAAGGTCTTTGACTAAAGCCAAGCCCTGCTCTGTCATAAAAACAAACTTTAGCCACCTTAGCGATTTGAGGAGCAACCAAAGCCCACACATCTGAAGATTTGCCTGTTGGTGCATCCAGAATAACTGTGGGTGGACCATGCCCTAAACAAGCCATAAACAATTTTTGTTTCCAGCCAATGTCGTACAATTCCCCTTGTGGTCTAAGTGCTACATCCTCACGATAAAGTGCTGCATGATTGAGAAAACCAGGAACTAACAGCAGTAAGGAATACTTTAGCAAACCCCACCAGCTACCATTTGTCTCATTCTTAGATCCCTCTCTTTTAGTTGAAGGATTTGACTACAACAGAAAGAAAAAATCAATTATGACCAAATTAAGTCAGTGTTTATAGAGCAAAATATCCATTACAATAAGAACAACAACAAAAAAAAACAGTTGTTTGAGAGTACCGTAATTAAGAGGTACAAATTTTATTTTGATTCCATTGACTTCAACTTATATACTAAAACCCCAAAAAGCCATCATATCTTCAACTTTTTCTAACTCTTATCAGAAATCATAGCTTTGTCTCATATTTCTAACCCAAAACTAAGACTAGAAACTGCTCAGAATCAATACAGATTTTCCAAGAAAGGGTAGAGATGACTTACAGGAACCACAAAGACAAAAGGTTCTTTCCAGATTTACCTCTGTATTATTCCCATGTCTGTTCTCAGATTTTCTTTGCCTCATTTCTTTTCCTAAAAGCAACATGAAAATTTATTGCCATTAATGAGCTCCAGTTTCTCAAAGACTTGAAAATTTATATAGTTGTACATTTATCAAAATAAATCAAAAGATTGATGTTAGCAGATATAAAATGAAAATTCGGCTTATAAGATAACAGTTGAGCAAGTCACTTGGTGAACTTTGAATAAAAAGTATGCATCAAAAATCCTCTAGACCACAGAAATGGAATCAATAAAGGGGTATGATTCACACTTTTCGAATGTTTTTAAACCTTTCATTCCTATAAACTACATATCAGTTCTCATCACTGTCTGCTGTACTTTTCTTATATTTTTAGTGGTAAGAATCAAAGAATCAGTTAAATTAAATGGTATCCCCTTGGTTGGTATTTTTTTTCCCTCCCATCACCTAATTGCTTGAAAATGTAATATATAGATTTAGCCAAGCCTAAAAGCAGAGCTTGCATTTTATTTTTCCCACAGATCTCAAGAGCACAAGTCGTACATCCAAATTTTTTCGGCTTGATGGGATACTACTATTCTGTATAATTATGGGGCTATGCTCTGCAAGCTCCACTATCAAGATTGTGAGGAGAATTTCCTTTTTGGTCACTTCTGGGAGTAACTGGTTAGAAGCTACCATAATGAAGAGGACAATACACATTACATCATGCTTCGTTTTCATTTTCCCCTTCAGTTAACTCTTTAACTCCCAAGACCTGTGAATTCCCTTCTCTTGCTACCAGAGATTTCATTGTAAATTGGTTATAAGAATTTGGTATGCGATCAAGGTAGCTTTAACCAGATAAGTCTGAGTATTCTCATTACATATTTGCTAGATGTTGTATGGATATTATGGAGAGAAGTTACCCATTAATCATTTCTGGGAGTTGATGACCAGGTTAACAATCATCAGCCTCTAGTAACATAACCAATGAAATCTTCCCTTTCATAAACTTCTTTTGAAAAAGGGCTCCCAGATGGGTGAATCATCCACTTGCAGTTTGCTACAAGGGTTTTCCCTAAAAGCTATTGCAAGAAACTGTTTCCAAGATAAATTCTTGTAAGTGGCCTGGCAGACTCAATCACCTTTTGGGTTCATTTGCAATAGAAATGTAATACTTTGAAAAAAGCAGAAGATTTACTTTTACTTGTGGAGACTACAGCTGAAACAATGGTAGCATCTCTATGTAAGGAATTTTAGGGGGTGCTGTGGTATCCAAGTTGAGAGGAATCTACCTCTGTTGCAAAGGAATTTAGCCACACACTGCTGAACATTTTCACCACAGTGCATTGCATAATAGCCAGAAAAAAAAACACTTTTTATGTAAACTTACACTTACATGGTTAACAGGCAAAAATTGGCACAATCAGGTAAAAAATTTCATTATAGTAAATTGTTTCTTCATTCCAAATTTTGTTTCCATGAGATAAGTCTACTTAAAGATTTTGATGTAAATGTTTGTCTCAGATCTGAAATAATAGTCACTATGAAATAGCTAGCAAATTCAGGTACCCTAATTAACTAGCATGAGCATGCTTCAAAATCCTGTTGTGAATGCTAATGAAATCAGCAAACGGCCCAGGACCAAAAATTTTCCTTAGTGATTGACTGTGAACTTTGTGACGATTTTTGAGACAGACTCTTAGGAGCTCTAAATGAAAGGTAAATCTATTGAAGGATACTCGATTTGGAAAGCGATGATCTTTTGAGACTTAAAAGAACCGGTGAGAATTTTGGACAATGCTTCGATTCCCAAACACTATCCAAATTATGGATGAAAAATGAAAACTGAATTTGATGACAAAAGTGGAGCTTCACCAATTTCAGACCATTCTTTAGCCCAGTAAATATTATTTTTAAATGTAGATATGCCTTGAAGTATTGTGCAACAGAAGATTTTGTTTTGAATCTGACGACTTTCAGAATTTTCAACATAATACTAGGCAATTTTCTGACCATGAAGTCAAGTTAACAACAATAGGCCATTTTACAGTTGTGTGCTTAGTTGCCAAGTCTCTGATTTGGGGTGAAGCTGACGGTGACCTTGTGTGGTTTTTTTCCTACAAATTTTGACTTCTGAGTAAAGGTTGACTAAAATTATTATTTGTTTAGTTTGGGAATAACATTTCAAACTTTTTAAATTTCATTGGAGCTTTTTTGGGTCAAAAGACGATTTATTTTAGATTCAAAGCGCTGGCTTTCCCAAATATAATGTGATAAATCAAGTGTTCCAAACGTCAGCCGTATATTCATGGAGATAAGATGTGTGAAGCACGCGGAAAGTTTTGGGAGCTAGACTTGCCCTTGTCTGTGCTCAAAACTTCCCACGTGCTTCAAATCCTAAAGAACACTCACTGCAGCTAACATGTGAACTAATGGTTGATTTGCGTTTAAACATAACTCTTCGGACTGATCTTGATCTTTCCAGAAATATAACGATCGATTCAGTTATAAATTACGTTTTAAAAAAAATATAAAATTAAGGGTTAAATTCAAGACTCTAAAGGAATCATAATCGAATGTATCTTGAGTTGTACTCATTCCTTATAGTATGCTTACCATGCGAACCAAATTAACATCTTAAGTCCACGATCATTCCTGGATGCAAGTTGTAGACCGGAAATAACTACCCGCGATCACTGTGCACTTATTTGCAAATTTAGCGCAAAAGATATAAAAAGATCTTTGTTATGCGTACAACATACAGTCTCACCTGTGTATAGTATGATAACCGCTCTGTTTTCTGCCGGGTCCCAACCTCACGTGTATAGCTTCGTTACACCACATGAAAATTGGGCAATTGTCCAAACGCTGACCACCCGCTAAAAAAACTGGTTTCCAGTCTTCCTACTGTTTAAGATCCACTGGATACTGGTTTGGATGGTAATTATTATGCCACATCCTTTAAATGAAGAAAACCTTAACGCCAAATTTGATATGAACTAATGAGCCCGTTGAAGAAATTTTTATTTTGGCAACAATAAAGACTCCTGCCTGACACCCTAAGAGGAGACCGAATCATGATTTCACAACCTTATGTCTCATATTTGCTTTGTTTGGAGTTGATAAATTTTACAAATATCATTCTCTTGTCTCTTTTAGCGTAGAGTTCTATCAACAAAATAAAAATCTACAGTCAGGGAATTGTTTTTAAAAAGTTCGGAAATAACAGAACAATCTTCTTTGTATATCTCTATTGAAGCTATTATTGATTTTTCCTACAATCTTAGTTAAACAATCGCAGGCCGCTTTTCCTTCGACTATCTTTATCTGGAACGCAGATCAGATATTAAACTACTCGTAATATCGACGAGCATGTTATACTGGCCTCGTTCAAGACACTTCATCTTTGATCTCACTCTTCAAGGGTATAAAACCAAGATCTTCTTTATTACTGTCTTTATCAGGATTATGATAATCGTTCCTCAATTGTTGCGGCGGCTTCCTAAAAAAAACTAATCGACTCAACATCCTAATATTGAATTTATTGGCGGACTTAGATTCTAATATTCAATGGAGAGCTTTCTGCTTGTCAATATGAAATGTTTATTCCCACACATAAACGTGCGTCCCACATCAGTCCAAAGAGGTTGATCGACTCGCCGCTGAAGATTGCAAGAGGAACATAGTTCGGTGAGATTCTGAATGTAAAAACCTCAGTAAGAACTAAATAAGGCCGCACTTCGTTCGGATGTAAGGTTCGCCTGAAGCCTATTGCCAGCCCTTTTTTCTTAAGTTAAACCTGAACACCAATCGTGCGAGGTTTGGAAGCGAGTAGAAGAGCGCTCTCTTCGCATAAGTTATTGCGTTTGAGACGTATGGAGTTTTAATTGTCATCAAGGGTTCAACTAATTTATGACACGTACATGGACTTTTCCTGAATCTTTTTATTTTGTTGCAGTAATTTCGATCCACCCCAACGGAATACTCGATAGTGAACTTATCGTTAAGTTTGTATAATTTTAAAAAGGTACACTCCTCTGGAACAAGCCTTGTCTATGCTTTCTAGAAAACGGAGAAATTCTCTAATGCATCTGCTGGAAAAAATAATAAATTACGCGCGTTTTGTTCTATTTCAGAGGACCAGTGATACCTACACGTATATCACTTAAGAGATTACTTCTGTAGTGAAATGGCTGCGTTGTATCCATATTGGGGTAAGTACCAGTACTTCGATGTAATATGACTCTTGTTTATAGCAACGGCTTACCAACTCAAAGAGAAGTATGCGGGCCTCATTTAGAATGTATAATGGATAGAATGTATTATTATGCAAACTGGTTCAGGGGAGGAGGATTGTTTCGACGGAGAAGGAGTGATATTTTCAACTCTTGATAAATTTCGGTGGAGAAGTTAGAAGTTTATAGAGAGTCAAAAGCTCACAAAGTGAGTGGGTGCAAATTTTCTTTACCTTTCCGCAGCCAGCTAATCAAATCTCAAGCATTTCAGCAATCTTAGATGCTTTTGGTACAATATCAGACTATTGTATCAAACCGGCGCTAAGTATTTTCAATGACTCTGTGGTCGTAATTTGGCCTAGCTAGCTCTCTGTCGACCATCTGAAATATCACATTCCCCTTTATAGGTGAGCATGCTAATAAATAACATTTGTGAATTATTTGTACTAATAATTCGTTATCTCCACGGATGTGGGTAATAATAAACGTCAAAGTTTTTCAAATCTTGGAAGTTAAGGCTCTTGGAACGTTCCTGTGGGTCACATGATATGTGACGTAGTGGCGACATATAGTTCAATACTTCCCAGTCTCTCTCGCTTTGAACATCAACTATTTCGTCGACAATAGCACCGTTTGAAACCTCCCGGATGTAGATTCGTTTAGGAAACTAAAAGATGAAAACAGAAACACGTCTTATTACTAGACAAGCTAGAGCTATTCACTGCTTATCATGACTAATTTTCCCACAAAATCAATTCAATTCACGCGCGAGAGCTTTATTATACTTCTAATTTTATGCATTGCTATCTTAGTTAACGCAATCTCACCCGCGTTCCTGTTATCACATATTTATCGTCGCTCCTAGAGCCAACATTGGTTGTCTTCCATGAGTCGTTCACTGTTTTTGAGTCGCAAAACGAAACCCTGTTTATCCATTGTTTGTATTCTTTCTGATCTAGTTGCACTGTATCAGAGGTCAACCTGCTTGGTCGGCGTTGAGCTTTATCCTGGATTATCTTGCCGTCATTTCTATCTTTCTTTACATCATGGTCTTTTTCAAATCTAGATCTTTTGTGATCGAAAAAAAATGTCAAACAGTATTGTAATTCTAATATCATGTTATGATTACGAAACAGTTGCGAAACAGAGTTTTTTGACCCCTCTATTCTTCGAGTCGCATTGCAAATATAACGATAAAAGACAGTAGCACTCATGTTATTTTTATAGTGGTATCTAATTTTTCATCAAGCTTAGGCTGAACAAAAAAGCGTTACAAAAATCAAAAGTGGAGCGTGAAAATTGCAATGCCCCAGGACGTAAAAACTGAACAACTTTGAGATTTTTACAAGATAACTGTTTGTTCATTTTTAGCCCCGAACAGAAAGGTCAAAAAGCAAAAGTGCATTTTCCCTTTTGAAGTAATCTATAACTACATGGGTTTTTCCTCAAAACAATGAAGCATGATCATGCATGTGAACGATTAAGAAAATTGCAACATTTTCACGTGCGATCTCTCTGATCACGTTTTAGTTATCGTTTTATCTACTCTAGGTCTCATAATAGACTACGATGTCATTCACTTTGTTCTGATTGGTAGTTTTGATTGCCTCGTTCTATTACGACCCTTGACTTAAACGCTCTCTTAGGTTCTGTAAAGCCACTTACTGACTTAACATTCCTCTAAGTAAAGCGTAACGCTTGACTGCGTCGGCTGGCTGAATGATAGGAGATGTGTGGACCGTTTCTGTTGACCGTTTCGTGAAGCTTGTTTTGGCATTCTCTGTGCTTGTTTGTTCAGGCTTTAAGGTTCTTATACCTCCCCCCACTTGATTCGTTCCTTTCTCTTCCGTGAATGATCGATAAACTTTCGCCTCAGGAGATTTACTTAATGTAGCTTGCTTAGAAGTTAGAGCAGGTGAGATATCTGTCTTGACGAAGAAAGAATCCCCTCTTTTATCTTCAGGTGTTGAAGAAGGTGACTCTCTAGTGGTTTCCGTAGGGCGTGTAGAGTGCAAATACTTTAAGCGCAAGCTGCGTAGTGTTTTTATCCTTCCATCTGCTCTCGTGGCTGATTTCGGTAAAGAATTATTTTGGCGATTACCCCTCTCCTTATCTTTGTCGCCTTGTTTGGAAAACATACCCTTTCTTTATCTACCTCTCTTGTGGTCGATCACTAAGGTGCTTTTTCCCACTCTGTCTGTTACGCCTTCATTTGCCTAATTACGAGAGGAAGTTATGTCACTCTGGCAACATGTAATTGTCACGTCATGTGATTGTTCGCTCACTTTACCCAAGGTGCATGTCATGTTAAGTTGCTAATGAAAAAACTGCCACAAAAACAAAGCAGTCAGCCTATTTAATTGATTTATGGTACCTCAAAATTGTATTTTTCTTATTCACCAACCCGTAACCGTTTGAGTCATTTATATCACAAAACGCCTCTTTTAGACTTTGAGACATGGTTCGGCAAGACAGTAAAGGCAATATTATTAATCAGAGATACCAAACATAGGAATACTAATTATTATCCAGCGTTGCCTTTTGGTTTTCAGAAATATAAACGAGATCCTAAAAGTCTTCAAAATCCGCCATCTTACCCTCGTCCTTGTATAAAACATGCGGACACAGTGATCTATTTTCTGGGCCACTAAAAATGGCGAAATCAATTTACTTTTCCCTTTCAGCATCTACTTGAATCTTTTCCTAATTTTAAACTTAGTATGATTTTACCATTTTTTATTTTGTTAACATCATGTGTTGTTTCCGCTCTTATCTTTTCGACCAAAAGTCTCTATTGTCGGCGAATTTCGCCAAAACGCTCCGAAAAAATATTCAAGGAGAGAAGGAATAGACTAGATTTGATTGAATAAAACGCTGGCAAACCATTCGAACTTACTACTGACTTCACTTACGAGAAAAGTGCTAAAATAATATCTTTGCGAAAATATAACTGAGTTTCACCGCTCATTTCGGGTCGCCTAAAATACTTGCCTGATTTAGAGCGAGCCAAGCCAGAATAAAATTGATTACAAAACATTGAAGGTTAGCTGAATCATTTCACCTTGGCTATTCTTGCTGTATAAAGACCAACTTTTTTCCGACAAAGAAGTGTTCGTAGCTGCTCTAACAAAAGCGCAATATCATTGTTATAAGTGATAATTAATCAGTTTCATTGTTCGTCTTTGTTTGATTTCTTCTGGACAAACATGCTCTTCGTGTGTCCCATGTTCCCTGGTTACGGTCATGTAGAATTAGTCAAATTTAACTCTTTATTATCCGTCACTGAAACAATATTATTACCTTAACATATTTTCCGAGGCCCTTACACAGTTAGGGGAGTTTTTTGCAAAACAAAGAAGGCAATATCTGTCAACATTCAGGAAGGTGGACAATTTTATTTTCCTGGTTCCATCGTCAACTCTCTTTGTTTTCCATGAGTCGTATTATTCTGAAAAAGCGTCTTGTGATTCTTGAACTGGTTGAAGTCAGGCATTAAGTGTGACGTGCGTCGTGTGCTAACCTACATCGGAGAAAATAACTCCTCTATTATGGCAAAAAACAGCTGATAGATAGGGGAAAAAATTATGTTTTCTTCGTAGCGGCAATTTTGACATTCATGAGGCCACTAACAGATCGCAATAGGCGAGTCATATCTTTTTCACAATTCCTGTTCACTACTAAAAAGGAAAAGCATCACCATTCTCTTTCACGAAGTACGGACAGAATTATCTTACTAATGTTTGCTCTCACTCATTATTATTATTATTATCATTTTCTCTTTTTATTTTTCATAAAAATGAAATACATCGTTATTGATTATCTATCTTCCACAAGTTATTTGCATAAAAAAAAACCTCGTTCAGTGGATTCAGGAAATTGCAGTAGAAAATGAAAATGTTTGTTTTTGCAATGTTAGTGTTTTGGAAAAGCGGAGAACAATTTTATGATCAGTGATATAAACTTTCATCATTTTTGTTGGAACATAAGGGATTTCCACTTCTGGATGGGAAAAATTCGAGAGATAAGCTTTATATTTCGCGCAGATGAGTGATCCAAGAGTTGAGTTGAACTCTTGCTTACCTTTGACAGGAACTCGCGTGGGCGGATGCATAATTACAAACAGTCAGCGGATTTATAAGCATGCGTAATGCGTTCATGTATTAATTTACCGCGATTGTTGTCGATTTACTTTGTACTCAATTTGTGACGGTTTTCGTCTGCGAAAAGTTGGGAAGAAGCATACTTGGTAGCATATTTTGTTTTAACTCGCACAAACTAAGGCAGAGAGATTGATTTCCCTGAAGAAATCTACATTTTAAGCTTTCAAACCGCTTTTTACCTTCAGGTAAGTCTCTCCTTTTCTAGGTTCGCGCTGGTCCTTGCATGAATTGAAGTCGTTGTGATAGGCTTTTATCACTCGTTGCTCTGAAGTGTCGTATTTGGGCGTTTTCTTTCGTGTTTCTGAAAACTTGGCGCATACTCGAAAGATTTGTACGTTTCCGTGCTAATTTAAGATAGAGAAAATGCTGTTTTAATTCCATTCGAGTCTTTTCGTCGGACGAGATTTGACTAACACGGTCTTCCCCTTCATGACGCAAGGCCTTTATAATTCGCCTCTGAACGCAAGAGTGGACAGGGAAAATAATCATTTCTTTTTCAAATCCCTTCAGCCAAAGGAGTCTTGATTGATCGTATATTTTCTACCCTTCTGGATCTGCTGAAATATCGTGTACCTTCTTTGAGAATTAACAATTTGCGCGGAGATATTTACGTGCTAGAACAACCGTTGTTTGAATTGAAGAGACACAAAGGTTTGACATGAAAAAAAGAATCGTTTATTCCTTTTGAGTTTAAAAAAATTTTTTGAGTGTAAGAACTTGTATGGAAAAACTTCTCAACGTACATAGCGAACTCAAGATAGAAAACGGTTCCAGAAGGAGGAACCACCGGCAGTAAATTCTTGAAGAGACGTAGTTACTGCTTAGCGATGTTGGGTAAGAATGTTTATTGTTCTCGGCTGTTTTAACTTCGATGGCTGTTAATGTTTATTATATTCAGCTGCATAGTGGTTCTCATGCGCGTGATTTTATGAACAGATTTGGCTACGGATGTTCTTCGTACCTCATTCGCTTTTCTTCCCCTTTGCTGATGTATCACATCAGACTGTTCAGACGTGATTACGTTTTTCTCTAGCTTTAGGGGAAAAAATTTTCGCTCAGCAGAGTCCAGTATACTCTGCATTTTCTTGATAACGTCTTTTCCTTTCAAATATATCAAATTTGTTAGGCTTGGAATATCGCAAACTCTATTTTAAGCACAAGTATACTTAAGACCAATCTCATTTGACCTTGAAATTCATTTGAAGTTCTAACTAAAATCATGCATACTTGTGTTTCCATCGCATTGTTGTTGTCTTTTCTCTGACTTTCACTCATTTATTTTTCGCTATGTTCAGTAGCTTTTTAGTAGGAATTAATTCAGCTGTAGGAGGTTTAGGAAACGATAGTATTTAGCTTATCATGATGGTTAACATTCACGAAGACAAAGTTGGTTAAAGCTAAGAGTCAAAGTGTACCCTAACACTGTTGTAGCTTACTGTTAGATAATTATTTTGAAAACTTGAATGGCTTTCTGAAATAAAGGTATTTCATCTACATTATCGACTCAAAAAGAAAACACAGGAATTGTTTGTAAAAATGGACCAACAGGAGTTTCCAAACAATACTACTGTTATTTCTAGAGGCAATTTCTATTTTGTTCATTCAGGCATTTTTTGGTTGAAATTGTTTTTCAGTGAGATTTCAAAACAATTTGTACTCAGATATAGTGGCATATAGGTTATAGGAGACTTAAAAAAAGTCATTGACAAGCTAGTGGAGAGTCCTTGGTTATAGGAAGTCAATAGATAACTAGCCTAGATAGGATGGTGGCTGGGATAAATCACTGGCACTCCTTAAGTTAGGCAAATGCTTATTTTGCTCTGAGAGAGTTCACATGTAACATATTTACAAAATAGTTAAGTATTTCTAGACCACTAATTTCAGATTTTACTTTGCATTCCAGTAGGTTTAAGAATGGGTCAAAGTGACACAGAAAGCACATCATCTTCCATGAGAGGAAATCCTGGTTCTCCACGTGACATTTCTGTTCTTTTAGATGAACCTAGTGCAGAGATACCAAGCTTTCATCATCCAGGACATATTTCCCCATCAGTATCAACTTCATCTAGTGACACAAGTGAACTGGATAGTTCAGTAATTGTTATAAATCAGACACCTAAGCGTACAGAGATCCCTGTTATTGATCTTACGTCACCAGATGAAGGTGATGAGGGTTCAGCAAGAACACAGGGAAATGCAGCAGCTCCTCCTCCATGGTGAGAAATTGAGCTCAGTCCTTCTCTGAATAATTCTCTTTGCTCTTAACCCTTATACTCCCAGAAGGGACCAAGACAGAATTTCTCCTTACAATATCAATGTAATATCAAACAGATAAGTGTCAAGATTAAAGGAAAATATCAAGTAGGGGATAATTAGTTGATCCAACACCAAATTCTTTGAATGAACATTATCCAAATTGTATGGCAGACAGAAAGGAGAATTGCTGAGGAGGTCTTAGGAGTTGGAAGGGTCAAAACAATGTCTTAGTGTAGGTGTACTGTAATTGTAATTTCTTAATTATTAATCAAGATGAAATGTCTTCTAGATATTCTTAATATTCTCCATTTTGTCATGTTTCCAGTGAGGACTTTGCACAGTTTGCTTCTAATTTCCGTTGGCGTCTTCAAGGACGTGACTCCAGAGGGCAACGTTTTCCTCTCAATGAAAGTCGTTTACGTTCACGTCGGTTTCGAGGCAGGCATGTCCCTTACACAAATTTATTTGAGCGTGGTCCTTCAGCTGCAGGCAGGAATGAAGCACTATTAGCAGAATTTGCTGACTTTGCACCAAGGCCAGCTCCTTCTGGAGAAAATAATACACCTATTGTTATTGATGATGAGGTAATACTTGTTTCTCTTTATACCGAGTTAACCCATTTTTTAAATCACTTGTGAGCCACACTTAAATCCAAACCTTTGGCTTTTTCCATTGACTAGTTTTTTCAAGATAAAATTTGTAACTGGTGAAGTAGGAGGGACCCATCAATTTGATAGTAGGCAGGATAAAAGGCTCACTTGAAGATAATGTTTTACTATCCTCTTGAAGGAAGCCAGGTGCAAATTATTATGTATCCTGGTGTTGCTTCCTCTATCCTACCTTTCAGGAATTACAAGACTCCTGCACCTTGAAGTGAAACAAATAGGCAATTCCTCATTTCTTTTTTGCAGTGAAACTTTCCCTGCTAATGAAATCGCTTCTCTTTCACCATGTTAAAAGAGTAAACTGTTCTATATAAGAAAGGATGTCAAAATTTCTCAGGAATATAGGAGAATGAAATCACCCCTTGAAGTTTGAAGTATCTTCATGCATACACAAGGGTAAATTTCTAAATGTTTTGGTTAGAATAATACTGTTTATTTAGTTTGAATAATTCATTGAAAGCTTTGTTTCTATTTCTACAGAGATTACCTTTTGCTCAACACCAAGTTCCACCAAATGATGCACCAAGTTGGTTTCTGTCAGATAGACAACATCGCATGGAACGTTTCCGTCGCCGCCTCAATGCCTCTCGGCAATCCACAAGGTGCTATCTTCAGTCAGATGAGGCTCTCGCTCACAGATTACAACAGGTAAATTTTTGGATATTGTAATTTAACTTTTAACTTTTTATCTAGGGTCTACTTGAGAAAGATGAAGAGTCTTCCTGTTTCACTTTTTATGATCAAGACAACAAGATAAAGTTTAAGGACTGGATTTGCATAGAACATTATGTAAAGCTACAGTCATTGGCTAAAGTCTTGGGATGCTTAAATTTTTCCCTTCCTAGCTGTTGTGGTGTTTGCTTCACCCTCCTTACCCTTAATGCAATGTCTGACATTGAAGCTTCAAGTGGTTGTGGATGGGTTGAAGGGGAAGGGACATTTCTTAGGTATAAAAGAACTTCTTGCATTAAAGAATTTTGTTAAGGAAAACAATTCATATTATTTCAGGCTGAATATACACGCGACGTAGAAGAAAATGTCCATGATGCTGGGGATACAACCCAATCATCTGGAGCTAGGATTGGTGGCATACATGCAATACCTCCTACTGTGGTAAGAATGCCTTATTTAATAGCATCTTCTTCTTCTTCCTCCTCCTCTGTTGTTTTTGGGTTATCGTTATAAATGTAGAAACTGTGATCAATATGGTATTCCACAAATACTTGCATGCATACACATTTGATGGTAAAACCCATGTGAAAACAAAATAACTTCTGTTGTTAGCAGTTTCTGATCAAATGAAATTCTAACCAATTTCAATAAGAAGAACAGAGTTTTTCCTGTTGAGCACCAAATGGTTTCATGGAAAGCTTAAGGTGTTAAGAAGGGACAAAAGAATTTTCAATATTTATTGCTTTGTTTGTGCAATCAAAACTGTGCTTGAAAGTACAAGATTTAGAAATAACAAATTGAAATCTGAAATTAGTTTTGCATCGTGTTATGTGAAAAAAATGAATATTTAAAGCCATATTTCTTCAGGCAGGTCCAATGTAAATTTAGCCGAGGCTGGTGTAAATGGAGGTCTGTGTAGATAAACTTACTACAAGGACTTAAAGGAGAACTAAACTGCAATAATGACAAGTTTATTGGTATACTCATTCATTGTTCCTTTCTGTAGCACCAGCCACCAGCACCCTCTCTACAGGTACGACGCAGACGTCCATTCCACACAACTTTTGCAAGCCAAGGCTTTCCAGAACTACTTCTTCCTTTTGTGTAAGTAAATTTGTTACCCTATGTTAAATGGGAGAAGTTTCAAACATGCTGTGTGTAGCACAAAATGAATTGTAAGCAAACAAGTTAAAGACCCCCTTAACATTTGTCAGATTTGAGATTTTTCCCTCAGTAATGTGGTGATAACAGAGGTACATGTAATGGATATGTTTTTACTGCTAATTCATCATAGCTAGGCAATAAAATATGATTTTGGTTGAAATTGTAGGTCTGTTGTGTCATTTCCTCCCCCACCTCTTCATCATTATGGGGACTCTACCTCTGGGCATTCAACTGAGGGAGAGGACTATGAGGTGAGGAGAATTATGTTATACTGTTTTGAGGGTACGGTGATTTCACTTCTTTGAATAATATTTCACTTTTAAAGCCTTTCTGTAGAATTCATGCATCACTTATTAATTTTTACAAACCTTTTGCAACTGTCTGTTTTGTGTGTGTTTTCTCTTCTTCACTGTAAATAATGAAGTTTTATTTTAGGTCGTGGTTTAGTTTGCTCTTTAATACATCTGTACTAAAAAGCCCACCAGAAGAGTGTGTTGCTTTCTTGTTATTACTGAATGACTTATTACTTATCCTATAACAGGCCTTGTGGAATCTCAGTGAGAGGATAGGATTAGCCAAGGCTCGAGGGCTTAGCAAAGAAGGTACTCTAAGTCAACATTTACCACAGCCCTTTGGCTCAGTGCCTTCTTTTTTTATTTTAGAAAAAAAACTGGGGCTTGAGCTGATGTATTGTTACTTAAGAAGTTTTTTCAACATATTTTTTTTTCCATTCAGTTTTGATCCACTCAGTCTTGGACTGAGCACTTGTATCAGTATAGGGTTTTGTAGGCTGTTTGTGAAACATTCTTAATAACTCTAACAATTTTATAAGTTTAGAGAGAGAGATGCATTGTAATAATTGTTTCTGTATTCAAGCAAATCTTGTAAAGTCAAACTTTTGATTTTAGATTAAGCACTTAAAATGCCCTTAACACCTTATTGTATTATTATTATTATTATTATTATTATTATTATTATTATTATTATTATTATTGCTGCCAGCAAACAAATTGGTGGCGTAAGTCTCAGTTGTTTATTTTTTCCTTGTTTCAGTAATTGATAACATTCCAAGTTTCCGCTACAGTGCAAGCTCACGAGATTATTCCAATGGAAATTGTGTGGTGTGCATGAGCGATTATAGCAAGGGTGAAAAACTACGACGTCTACCTTGTAATCATGATTTCCATGCCAAATGTATTGATCGTTGGCTCAAGGTAACATGAGCACTTCATTCTGTTTCAATCATTTTATTATTTTAAGTATTAAATGACTAGTGGTGAAACTGTTCCATTGGGATTTTAGTGATTTAGGGTCAGGTGTAAGTTTGGTTTTCACTTCAACATAAGTACTAGTATGAGTGGTGATGAGGTGCTGGTGTGCATACATGTAAGCACCCCTAACATCTTGTTGAAAGTTCTCCTTACTGTTTGCTATACATTTCTTGTAAATTTTGTTTCGAGAATCTTTTTGTGCTTGTTTTGTGGGTGCTAACGGTAGAACCATCTTTGCATTTGCTTGTGATATATGCATATGTGCATATGTGGTTGCAAAAACCAGGCCTTTGGTGTTAAGCATGATAGTGAGAGACTTGGGTCTAAGCTCATCACCTCCACTTAGGGGTATCAATCAGAACTAGCTAATGTTTTGGAATGAGATGGGGGGAGGGCTTCCGTCATGCATTGAACTATTGTAAATATAGGTACAAGCACTTTAATTGGTCAAGGATTCAGTTACATCTTTCCATAATCACTGGGGACAAGATGATGACAACAGGAGCACTTATTAACTTTTTGGGTTTAACTGGCTGCAATTGGCTTCTTGTTAGACATTTTGACCTGTTTAATGCTTTCTTGCAAACAAAGGTTTTGGCTACCACTACTCTATATCTATGGGCTAGACTCCCTGTCTCAGCCCTTTGATGCAAGACATTTTGGAGGCAAAGAAATAGGGCAAATTTACATTTTTGCTCTATTAATCACCGTAGTAGTTGTAACAAAACAATTATTTGCTGAAGGAAAAGTGAATGGTATTTAACAATATTATATAATCGTCAAGACAAAGTTGGAGATTATAAAAAAGTATTCTCTTTGCCTTCAGCAAATGATTGCAGGAAACAAATCAGGGATAGGAAGGGTCTAGCACAGGGTACTGAAATAACACTTGTACTGAAGTGTAAGCTGCAGCTGTTAATAGCTAGTTTACATGCTAATGGTAAATCAGAAACTATGGACGGAATTTTTTAATAATGTTGTGAATTTGATTTTCAGAATAATCGAACCTGTCCTGTGTGCAGAGAAGAAGTCATGGAATCTTGATCTTTGCCTAACTTTTAAACAAGCTCCAATTATTCCTTAAGATGATTATAGAAATTTTGCTGTTGAAATTGATATATATATATACATATATCTACATATAATGATTAATGCATTGTTGTTATTCTACACTCCTGACATTTGTAATGTTTTGCAAACTCTTGTTCAGTCTGTTAGAAAGAAAGAGAGAAGATTCATTATATGCTTTAGAAACAACTCCAACTTATCAATAGTTTTTATATTGCATTGCTAAAATATCTTCAAAATTGTTGAAATAGTTGTAAGCTTCAAGGAATAATAGTAATTTTGTTCCCCCCACGAGTAACAGTTCCTTTAGTCATTTGTGTACTAAATATAGTTTTCTTGAGATCATCTTAAGTAAGAGGGTCGTTGTGGCATGTTCAGATCAAGGTACTTTCTCACTGTACCTTCAGAGTTTCCTCTGTCAGTTTTGTTACACGTTGAACACAGCTTCAATCCATCTTGTGAAAGAGCCATGTCAACAAATGTGTTGCAATATATTTCAAATCCAGCAAAAGTAATTTTACAATTGATTGTATTCATACTTTCAGGATGTTGTGGGAGTATTTTTGTTGGCACTGTCAGATGTAATAAGCATAAGTTTCAATGTTGCACCTTCAGCACTTTCCAGAATTATTTTTAAATCTAGGACCTTGTTTATTTTTCCATGCACTGCAATCCAGGACTGAAGGATGAGTTTATATGACTTGGCTAGGAAATATCTTTAAAATTATATTGTTATGAAATGAAAGATTCCTATATTCACATTTGTAAGTCTAGAAATAATTTCCTCTAACATTGGTTTGAACTCAGAGAAGTTGCCACAGCTCACTTGTATGATAGTTAATGAATTATGTGAAGACCCATAGTGAAATTTGTACATAATATTTAAAGAAGCTTGAGTATGTAGACCAATTGCTTTTATTATATATCAAGGCACTGCCATAGCATTAAACACATTTATACAGCTTTAATCTAAAGTCTGAAATATTTAATAGTTATCACCTTTAACCCTTGAACGCCAAAGAGTGACAAGCATCTAATTTCTAATAATAATATTCCTGAATCAGACACTAAGCTCATGGGAATGAAAGAAATGATCGCGAACTCAAGAGGTTCTTCATTTTTTGACAAATTCACGTTGTAAGTACCGTACAAAATGTATAGGAATAGAGATGGGTACGGAGAACATGCACACTGATGTCACGCTGTAAAGTATTGAGTAAAAGACCTCGCTAAAATTTGTGTAGCTTTAAGAAAAAACTTACATTGGTGTTCAGCAGTTTATTAAATCCCCTTCGGTGGAAATACAATTTGTGCCGTGCCACCTTGAGCCACCTTGAGGATGAAGTTAGGCCATTTTAGTTCATTCATGCTAAAAGTAACGAATAAGGTATTGTGGTGAAGCAGATGTTGACGGAAGTTGTCGACTGTGGACGGAAGTTGTATTCCGTAGTTGGAAGTTGGATTGTGGACCGTGAACGGAAGTAGTCCCGCATGCTACCCCTCCCCACTTAGTGTCTGTCAAAATAATTTCGATGAAGCTCAGAAACTCACGTGAAAAGAAATAAAATGTTTGTATGGTTTAATAAAAATAATAACCTCAAAGCACATTTCCGAAACTTGAATCGAGAAGCCGAAATGTTAACCCCTAGGGACCCGTAGCGGGTTCATTTCAATACACACTATGATCACGCAGAAGAGCATCACAGGTAGCCATATTAGTGGTAAGCCGAGCATTTGCGTTCGTCTGCAGTTGGTATAAAGTAATCATTCAAGAAATAATTGACAGCTTTGCACGTGGTCCATACGTTTCATCTTTTTAACCGATATGTGTAATTTTGTTGACAAAAATGCGGACCGAGACCAAAACTGTTGCTTCGACTTGATATATTTTCAACGTCTAGGGGTGTATACACACTGATTTTCACATATGTGCCTTATGTTGTTACTGGTTTACATGAGGAGCCGGCGAATTCTTATAGGGAAAAGCGAAGCGTTGCTTTCGTGACTGGCCATTTGTTTACTTTTCTGGTGGTTTTATCTCTCATCTGCTTGGTGACTACGCATATATTAATATGTGAAAATCAGACCACATGAAGGCTTGAAATTCTATTAAGAACGATTGTGGCCGCTTTGTTAAAAACCAAATGCAATGGTCACTTTGTTAAAAACAAAAGATATCAAGAAACGGGAAAGGAATATTTCACAATAGTGCAAATGATCGTGAAAGATGAGGGTTCCTACAATTTTGCTATCAGAGCAACATTTGATGCCTGATTATGCCCACCCAGCCCACCCTCCGCCCCACAAACACACATACACCAACAAAAAGGACATTGTCTACCTGATGACCTCTGCCCATCCCACCTCCAGCCTACACAATCTTCTTTCCAATTCCCATCATGACAAATGCACAAGTTTTCTTATCACACAACTGCCCAAAATTAAAAGAAAATTTATTCCATAAGTCTTGAAAGTTCAAATAGACTGGATTCAACTGTACCTATATTCAACATGTCCAAGAAATCAATACAAACTTGAGCCATAACATGAATGAGCTGGCTCCAAGAGCCCTTTGATTGAGTTCAAGAAACCCCCAGTTTTTGAAATGAGACCTGTTGAGTGGACTATTGAAAAAGTATGGCTTTTACCAATATGATTAAAAACTTAACCAAATTGACTTGGTCAGTGGCATTTTTCTGTATTCCACTCTGTGGTTGCTCCAGGGAACCAGTGCTAGTTCTTGGCCAGTCAGATTAAAAATTTAATTCAACTGTGACTTGGTTAGTGGCATTTTCCCACAAATTAGGCTCTTGGTTTGCTATTTTTTCCTGGATTTGATTGGCCATTGTGATTACTGCAGTTTGATTTTTTTGAAGTTTCATCAAGAAGCACCCTAACCAAATTATTTACTTAGGCAGTACTTGTGTGGGCATTGTAAGTGTACACCTGGCGCTTGTTTAGGTTTTCTCTCTAATTTATTTTTGTCTTGGTGGGAAGATAGAATCTCCAGTATGGTAACATTTCACCTTGAGGGATATTACAAGACTACTTTCAGAAATTGGTAACTACAGTTGCATTTTTCAAATCTTGATTTTGAACATGTGCTACTTCATTGATCACAGCAACTTTATTTCCAGGGCCTCACTTATTTTTATCCCCCTACCCCCCTGGATGGAGAACCTGTAATTGGCCGGGATGAGAAGGGAACCTGGGAATGAGGCTCCTGAGGTACAGCAATTCTTAAATTAGAAGGACCTGTGTTACTTGCTTTAAAAATGTAATGGATTGGTATACAGGACCTTTGGCTTGAAATTCAAGGAATTGTGGGTTATAATTACCAGGAGAATGATTCCCCTTTCATTTTAACCACAGCCATATAGCTTGGGAAAAAAATGTATATTAAGCTTTTGCAAATTTGCGCTTAAAAATGATACCTCCCCACGTGAGGTCACGAGTAAAAAGATCACTGTTGCTACAGTCACATTGATATAAAAATTGCGCCTTTCAATGCAGTGCCTTTAATTTCGTATTTAATTTGTGTAATAATAAACAGAATATCACATTTGAGTGTTGAAAAGATATTTCACTCGTTCTCTTCGCCCATTTCAACACTCGAAATTCGTATCTCCGTGCGGCCATATGACATCCTCTATATCTTTTTGTTAAAACAATTGCTAAGAACTCTGTGGAAAGTGTGCCTGTCTTTCAGTACAATGCAATGGCCATCATTTTACTGCTTACATCCCTGCAGTGACACCAGGTGGGAATTTTCTAACCGGAAGGAAGAAATGAATGTAATGTAAGTATTCTAAATTAGGATATGACTTCATTTAATACTTCACAAGTTATACTCTACCGGGGGATGGACTTTAAGTTCACTAAGATCATTATATATTCAGTAGATAGTGAACTCAATGAACCATTTTTCTGTTAAAATATTTTGTTATTTACTTGTTCTGTGCGTGAAATCCTCCGTTCTTGCGGAAAAAATCGTTTCTTTTTGTTTCGAATGACATAAACAAATAACCCTGCTATTTATAGGAAACAAACAGAAATATTAATCATCCAATTAATGTCTATAAATCTCATTTTCATTTCTAAAGGTCCTGAAATGTTTTTAAAAAAATCCCGATTTATCTCAGAAGTTCTTTTTCGGAATAATCTCATAATTTGCACAAAATGCGAGATTCCCGTGATGAATTTTCATGGAGCACCGGCCTCTAGACTGATTCAAAATAATCATTTATTTTCAAGACAAAGTGAGCGATACGTCAGTTTCGTCTCCTTACATATTTCCCTCTCCGAAAAAGACAGCATGACCGTTGGCAGAGTTTGACATTTCATGTGGCATAACCAAGGCCAAAACCATGACAATAACCTCTATTACAAAGGTAGGAGGCGAAGTACCATTACCATTACCATTACCCGGAGCTCGAGACTAATTGTGCCATCGCTCGCCGAAATTAAGTTTACTTACTTACTCGACAGCTTAGATTGGCTCCGTTTTTCGACTGTTCCGAGTCCAAGACTTCGGTTGTTGAACGCAGGCTCATTTCGCGAACATTGGATGATTTTATGGTTAATACGGGTGAAAAGTGTACATTTGAGAAGAGACTGGGAAATAGTCAATGCACTCACGTTTCACCTGCACGTGAATCTAGCTAATGTTTACTCACGCGTTCGATACACGTGAAAGCTTCCATCTGTATGCGACATCATAAGAATAACTTTCGCAGTACGATGAGTTGTCGGATCTAAAAGAACGACAAAGGCCATTTTAACGATCGAGATGCAATCCTTTAATTTATCCTTATAAGTGTGATGTGTGATTGCGAAGTTTTAAACACCAGTGCACAAGATGGTACGTCGAAAACAAGCGAATGGCTCATGAGTAGTAACTTTTCAACAGACTGTGGCGATCGCCAACAGTCTTCTTCATCGGGAGAGTCTTCGCGAGCTGTGTCGCCGATCGAGGATTCTGAGCCAGTTAAACCAGAGGGTAGTGGAACAAAGCTACACAGTGATCATTACCATCGGAAACATCGTCACTCGAAATTTCACAAGAAAAAACATGTCAACAGCTCCGGCGTCGCGGTGGATCGATTTAAAAGAACTGCGACTGTGTTGCGCTGTTCTGGGCTTCTTCAGATCACGAGAAGTATATCTCAACTTCTACATAACAATGAAATAATTCAAAGTGAGATCGACAAGCTTCAACATGAAACGAAGGAGCACAGCCAGCAGTTACAGAGACAATTGCAAAAGAAACTTGAAGTCGAGAGGGAGACTAGAGGTGCGTGCAGTCCAGAGGGTCAAAAGTTACTCACGAAACTCGCTCAATTTGAGTGGAATTGAACTATTATTGGAATTCGCGCATTAAGTAAATCTTATTCCTTAATCACTTTTTTTCAAGGTTGTTTATTTCATTTTTGTATGCGGAGAAAAAACATTGGTAAACAAGGAATGATAATATTAATCAATGTAACTGGTGTGCAGCGAATTAGAAAGTCAGGCGACCGGATTACGTAACCGTACTGCTTGTTATTCCTTTACTTGAATGATCTTTCATTTTGGACTCTTTCGATCGAATCTAAAATTAAACGAACGAAGAGTTACTGTTATTATGGATGAAATGTGTGGATTTCATAGAGTTAAGATTCGCAGTAAGAATTAGCGCGCACAGTTCTTCCAATCTTTATTACTTGGGTTATTTTTACGCAGGTTGAAAATGATTTGCTCATCTGGAAAATTCTTTATTCAATAAAGAGTTGATGTACAATTTATTTGACTTTTTTATTGTATACTATAACAGAAGGGGCGAGAATTGTAAAGAGGAATATTTACAATCTAATTGAAAATCCGAGTGCAAAGAAAAGAACCGATCTTAAAGTAGACTCAGTAAGCAATGGTTAGTATCACTATGCTACTTCGATACAGTTTCACGTAATTGATTATCAACTTACTTTTA